AAAATTCTAGAGTAAACGGTACTGGAGAGACGCTGATCCTGTTTAATTTCATCCAGAACCGAGATATTTGTACGGCGAGCCGTTCATGGAATTCGAAGCAGGCGTCTCCATGTCCACATTTCAAAGGCGTCTATACGTCGTCGATCTGATTCTTTGACTGTCCATGTCTCGCATGCATAGTAAAATATGGAAAAGACCAGAGTTGAAACGAGTCTCTTTTTGTTTGTCATAGTAATGTGACGATCACGCCAGACTCCGTTTAGTTCACTCATTGCTGCTCTTGCTAGTTGAATGCGTCTTCTAATTTCGGATTCACAACTGCCTGTGTTGTTAACTAGAGCTCCAAGATATATCATAGATGAGACTACCTCGCATCCCGCAATAGTTTCCTTTGGGTAATACGCCTGAACTATAAATTTGGCCAATCTTTAATAGAATGCGCAAACTCTTTTGCAATCGTGATATCAATATAAAGTTACGAATACGAATGCTGCGGTGTTATGTCTTTTCTACCCTGTTAGATGGAGTTGAGGCTTGGACACTAAAACAGTTGACCATAAAAAACATCGAAGCTTTCGAGATGTGGTGCTATAGGCGCATTCTCAGAATATCATGGATGGACCGCGTCACTAACACGCAAGTACTCCAAACTTTAGACAAACGATGCGAAATTCTAAATGAGATAAAAACGAGAAAGATGGAATACTTGGGGCATATTGTGAGAGGTGAAAAGTACGAACTTTTAAGAAACATCATGCGGGGCAAAATTAAGGGCAAAAGAAGTGTGGGAAGAAGAAAAATATCGTGGCTTCGTAATCTACGTGAATGGTTCGGGTGTAGTTCGATTGAACTTTTTAGGCGCGCTGCTAATAAAGTCGCAGTGGCCATGATGATTTCCAATCTCCGCTAGGAGTGGCACGAGAAGAAGAAGAATAAATTTTTTTCAAGAGTGTCACAAAAACATCAGTGTACTTCTCATCTAGGATTTTTAGGATTTCTATAGGAAGCATTCCAGGTCCAGGGCTTTTCTCACTCTTCATTGTTTTTAATGCGTGTAATATTTCTTCTTTTGTAATATATGGACCTATTTCTTTTGACGTAAGTTCTATGTGCTTCAGATCTCCTCTTTCATCATCGAACAATTCGATGCCCATCTTTGTACTTTCTCATCCGTATGTGTTATAGTAGTCCCATGTCTATCCAGAATTGCACGAGTGGGATGTTGTTTTCTAGTTCTGATGAGATGTATGAAGATGTATAAAATAAATATTAAGAATAAGCAGCACAGTGTTGAGAGTTGGAGGACATCCTCTCTATATCAAATTCTCGGAATATCTTATTTATTCACTTATTACAAGTACATATTAATAACTAGTTTTCTTTGTAATTTAACCATTATTTAACACCACGTGTAACAAGAAATGATCAACATCGTTCTCGTAAAATCTTTGGAACCGATCCATTACAAAATAACAGCTAATTAAATGAAAATAAATCAAACAACACTAAAAGTCGTTAAACATATGGATCATGTGCAACTCTCTGCTATTAACCCGACCTAATATAGAATTCAATCATTTTTATGAGTCGTTAAATCCAAAAAGACTTCAATATACTCCAGAAGAAAACTTTCATTTGTGAATCTAAAAAATAGATAAAAAACCGTACATTGTAATTTTATTGCAGTCCTTTGAAGTAAACATTTGAAGAGGAAACAATATATAATTAAAATTAATGGTTAAATTAAATTTAGATTTTCTCTTTTTATTTTATAATACAGGAGTTAACATAAACAAACACAATGGACCGCAGGAGTTTTTTTGCAGAACCTTTGCGCTTTTTACAATACGTAAGTATTCTTATAGTTACTGCAACAATTTTACAACGTTGTGTAAATAATAAAGCATGTCGTTTAATATAAATAGCAATAAAATACATGTATCGGTAAAGTAAGGTTAGAATTTTTTTAATTTGAAAGTGAAAAAGACAGCAAATATTTGATTTCAGCCAAACAGCGCCTTTGTATCTGTTGATACGTATTTCGACCTAATAGGTCTCATCAGAACAGTTATTCAAAGGTGTTATCAACGTGAAAGATCAATATTTTCTGTCTTTTAAGAAGCAACACTAAAATGGCTTCGATACGAACGCAATAGCGACATCTGACAATAAAACCGTAAAATAGTTTCGAAACACAATTCAGATTTCCGCTTTAATCTGTGCTTTCTAAAAATTGCAAAGCAAAACAGACGTTGATAAAGGTGTTAAAAGAGACGTGGGGAATCTAAAATTTGCATTCCACTTTGCTTAGTTGAAAAGACGTGTCGTGGAATGCAAATTTTAGATTCCCCACGTCTCTTTTAACACCTTTATCAACGTCTGTTTTGCTTTGCAATTTTTAGAAAGCACAGATTAAAGCGAAAATCTTAATTGTGTTTCGAAACTATTTTACGGTTTTTTTTAATAATAGATTATGGCAGCAAAACATTGTCCGTTTTTCCACAATTATGGATTTTTTCAAGGAAGAAGCAAAACTTGTGTCTCGTGGGGAAAATGCTGTGGAGTCAAACCATGTAAAAGACATGGTGTTTGATGGGCAACGTGGAATGATCGTGGAAATCTTCATTCCAGTATGAGAGATCGTATTTACATGGTTGAGGTGGGTATTATAATATTCTTGATACATCTTAAACGGATTATAATACATAATTTAGTATATAAATGTTTTATTTCTAGATAAAACTTGATAGCGAGCGTGATATTGAGGAAGCAATATGCACTTGCCCAAGAGGTCATTTGATGTGCCACCATATGGCAGCATTGCTAATTTTTGCTTATCACAATGTATCTGTGACAGATGTGGTTTGTTCTTGGACTAGCAAGAAGCCACCAACATGTGATAAAGTAAAAACTATCGATGAGCTATATGGGGGGAAAGGCATATCAACGTATCAGTGGACGTACACATACACAATGGTGTTTTAAGTACTTCATAGCTTAAAAGCTAAACGAGTTATGGGTAAAACCATCAACTAACACATATTTTAGAAGATATCAGAACTCGTATACTGGAGCATTGTAAGATACACATAATGTGCTATTAAAGCACATACATATTTTCACCCATACTTACAAACTAATAAGGGTTGTTTTTTAAGTTGAAATATAATAAATTCATAACATTTTGACATTTTGTCTTTATAGTTTCAATGAAAAAAAAAACTATTCGAACTTTTTCCCACGGGATGGTTTTTGTAAGGGTAGAATTTATGTGGTAAAAAATTAAAACAGTAAAGAAATCTAAATTTAATGTCACTGTACAATTAAATAATTCCAAATTAAATATTACAATTATATGATTTTTTTCTAATGGAGGTCGATTTCATCCACACAATATAAAAAGCAACCAAAGGCACAAGTCCAATTTTGAAGTGGAGGGTACGTATAACCTAAATCCCCATGCAAATCAGTGCATTCTTTTTTTTTTCCCAATAGGGGTAGTTCTAACCCCTAAAAAATAAAAAGCAAGCAACGGCGCAACTGAAGTAAAGGGTAAGTAGAATCTAAATCCAAATTTTCTGGGAAATCGGTGGTGACACGGAAAATTACAGGGTATCGCCGTATTTCACGTTCATTTACTGGCCTACACCAGCTTTTGGCTGCAATAATCTTCGGACAGACTGACATTCAAAGCGCACAAAACTAAAGGACTGATTTTTTTTAATTAATGTTATGCATAATATTATGATTATCTTTATTTTAATCGTAAGGCATTATCCTATTTGTTCCACCTCCCCTTACATTTTGCGGTTTTTTTTTCGACTTTTCGCGTATTTTCTTTTTATTTGTTTTACTACAAGAAAGAAAAAATCCTTTTCAACGTATGAAGAGAAATAAGATATATGATGTTACAGTTATAATGCAAGGAAAGATAGTTGGACGAAGAAGCGTGGGACGTAGAAGAATTTCTTGGCTGCGAAACCTTCGTGAAATGTTTGGAATGACATCATCGGTCGAATTACTCCCTGCAACAGTTTCGAAAGTGCAAATATCCACGTTGATCAGCAACCTCCACAGGAGACGCCGAAAGCAACCTATTGTGAGTATATATGAGTTTGCATACTTATCTAGGCTTATTCAACTAAGAGTTCACTATTGTTGTTCACTAACCACTTGGTCTGACTCCAACGATGTTTCAATTTAGGCATGCCTTTACTCCAGTCGTCAGAGACTCTCAATGCCACTCAATCTCTAAAAATCATACAAACACGCTGAATTTTGCTGGGGATATCGATTTTGGAACCCCAAAAAAGGCGCAAAAAGTTTGCCACGCTTACCCCCAGGCTTCACCTAAAACCCCCCTTGTCGTGGGAGAAAACTGGAAAAATCGATTTGCCAAGAATCTGTACGCCGTAGAAAAAAACTTGATTTAAAGAAGAAATATAGCGTAGTACAAGAAATGAGATAATTTTGAATAAACAACATAAAAATGTTCATTGGCACTTTTTCTGTAGAATGAACCGTTCTCTCAGAAACAATGATTGAAGAGTCCGGCGATTTTGATTGTCATACCGTAAATACTTTTATATGTTTTGAAGATTAGATTCTGCGACCGGTCAATGGAAGTGATAAATTTTATTGATTTGGACTGGACTATAAATATCGGAAAATTTTTGGGGTGTTTCCTATTTTGCAACTTGTTGGAAGCAATCCCTCAGCGCTGTACAGTTGAGTACCGTTTCATTCTGACGGATATATAAAAGAAAAGTTTTGGATGCACATTTTGTCAGTGCGTCCACTTTTAAATGTTAAACCACCTTTCTGTAGTCATCGAAGCAACCTTACCACAACAAAACCATTGTTTTATTGTTTCTTCCGAGAAATGTTTATTATAATTGTCCAATTAACCGAATCTGGTCGTGATATGTAATTATAATGATTTTACTAGAAGATTAAAATGGTTGGTACAAAGTGTTTAGTCAAAATAAAAATAAACTTACACTTAATGAGGGCAACAACCTGGGTGTGCGTCGACTGCATTACATTAACCCCATTGACTTTGACGATTTTATCCCCGGCGTGAAGACCAGCTTTCTCTGCTGCACCACCTGGAAAACAACGTGTATATTAACACGGGCGATTTAAATATAAAGGGTGTCCCAATAGGGACGCGAATTGTAAATAGCAACAAAATTGAATATTCTCAAGTATTTGCGGATGTACTTAATTTTCGAGCATCATTTTATCTTAAACGCTTTTTAATAAGCATAATAATATCAAATCTCTTATACTTGTCTTTGTAGACTTCAAAATAATCTTCGACTCAACAATAAAAAAAAATGAAAGCGAATCAATAAAAACTCTTAGATTCCTGAGCCAATTGTATAACAGATGATAGATATGTAGCAACAATCAAATATATTTACAAGAACGCAACATGAAACATTTAAATGCCAAACAATAAATATTCTAACAAATTCAACATAGACAGATCTCTCCCTAAAAATATTTGTGGACCTTCTGCAAAATATGCTAATAACATAGAATGGAGATCAACTGGGACCAACTGGGAGACAATCATCTAAAGAAATCAGTTTGAAAATAAATATTTCAAAAACCCAGTTCACGAAAAATCTAGTGACTAATGCACCTCTACAAATAAATAACATTAACATTCAAGGTGAGATTCAAAGAAGAACAGGTCTTACCTGGGCAGAATTTGAATAATTAAGTACACATTCATCATCATCACGTAGCGCTACAACCCTGGGTGGGTATTGGCTGACTGTACAACTTTTTTCCAATTTGTTCGGTCTTCCATCAACCTAAGGTCAAATGGAATGTTCATTTTCCAGAGATCTGCTTGGATGTTATCTCTCCATCGCATTCTGGGACGTCCGAGTGGTCTTTTGCCTTTGGGAATCTCCTCCCATACCAGTTTTACAAGTCTCTCGTTATGCAGTCTGTGCACGTGACCTGCCCATCATAGTCTGATGTGATAGTTAGTTAGTTAGTTTGATGTGATTTAATTAGTTGGACAATATCAGCGTCATTGTAGAGTGTTTTTAAATCGATATTGGTGCTGGCCTTATACTGGTTTGTGGTGATGTCATGGTGAGGTCCGAAAATGTTTCCAAGTATTTTTCGTTAAAAGCGTCTGAGCTTTTCTTGGTTTGTTTTGGTCATGGTCCACGTTTCGCATCCGTATGTTATTACAGGTCTGACGATGGATTTATAGATTTTGATCTTTGAACTTCTTGCAATATTTTTTGATTTTGTGAGCTTATCCAGTGCGAATAGACAGCGGTTTGCAGATTGGATTCTGTCTTTTATTTCTTCAGTAACATCGTTGTCAGTTGTGATTATTATTTTTAAAGTTCTTAAGAAACATCCTAACTTGTTATTTTGGTGACCATTGCTTCATTAGTTCAATTGGTTTTCTGTCAAATTATTCTCAAATTCTTTCTGTCAACTTACAGAGTAAAATACTCTGTAGACATCCATTTCGAGAACTAGTATTTTATTATTTTCGTCTAAGATACATCCAATCTGTTTAGAATTTTTTTGCTTTCTCTACAAGCGGCTATTTTATACATTTATAACTTATAACTTCAAAAGGTGGGCTAAACTTTTTATTAAACAATTTTGGAAAAAAAAATGAGAAAAATTCAATGCTTTTTCTCTTTTTCTACATCTCGGCAGCTATAAATTAAAAAAAAAATTGTAACGACAAAAAAGTTTTAGAATTAACTTTCGTATAAGACAAAATTGATTCCAAAAGAAAAAAATAATACCTAATTATCATAGCAAAATTAGCAAAAACAATCTTAATGTTTTTTCTCTTAAAATAAGCGGCTTTTGCAGAACTTTCGACATAAGTTTAGCAAACAAATGTTAATGAAAAAGTTATTGAATTTGTTTATTAGCTTAAAAATTGCACAGTTGTTTAAAAAAATCCCTAGGCTCTAATATGTAACTGATTTCAATGGTTCGACTTTTATTTGAAGTTTGAATGCCCTTTAATACACAAAAAAACTTTTTGTGTTGGCTCTGCATAAGTTTGAAAATTATTTTTCAAAAATATTTTGCAAAGACTTTTAATCGATCGTACTGAAATTTTAAATAGTGTTTTTTTTTTATCTTAAAAATTTTCTGGGTAAATTTCGAAAGTTGTATGTGGCCTGTAAATATACACCTGAAAAAAAATATTGAAAAACATTGATTTTGACACGTTTTAAATTGTTTCTGCTAATTTTTCAATATTAATTATTATTTTTTCAATTTGCAATAAATTCTGTGTCTTACAGAAAATTTAATTATAAAACTTTTTAAGAAAAACATTGAATTTTACTCATTTTTTACAAATTGTTTATTCTTCTCTGTGTAACTCTTAGTTTGGTAAACGAGGCTTTTGTTAGAGTAAGTGTTACTGTTCCGTATGTTAACAATGGGGAGGACGCATTGATCAAATACTTTTCTCTTCAGGCATGTGGGCAGCTCACTTTTAAAAGTTTCTCTCAGTTTTCCATATGCTGCCCTCCCAAGACCTATTCTTCTCTTCAGTTAATGGGTCTGATTATTCCTGCCAATCCTAATTTCATGTCCTAGGTATTTATATTTATCTACGACTTCTACTTCTTGCCCACCAATACTGATGGTGGGTACCAAATTTGTCATTATTGTTGTTTAAGAGATGTTTATATTTAAACGCATATTTTCTGTAGCCATAAGTACCATCTCTCATGCCATTCCTAAGTCCTCAGCTATTATGACAAGTAAGATATTCTCCATCTATTTTTATTCCCTTTGTTAGCCAATCCAAATTCTTAAAAGCATGTTCCAGCACAGTATTAAAAAGTTCAGGTGCCACTGGGTCTCCTTGTAGGTATATTATATATTGTATAATAGGATATAGAATAGGGAATACTTACAAATAAATAGGCGAAAAGCTCGGATTCATTCGTGAGATACCTAAAAATAAGATTTACTTTATTTTTATTTACTCCAGTCGTCAGAGACGAAAATGCCACTGAACCACTAAAGAAGTCAATTTTGGACCACAAAAGAAGATACAAAAAGTTTGCCACGTCTACCCCCGAGCTTCCGCCTAAACACACCCTCGTCTAGGGAGAAAAACGGAAAATAAATTTACCAAGAATCTGTATGCTGTAGAAAAAATGTTTTTAAACACGAAAATTAGTAGAGACAATTTTGAATAAAAATGTTTATTAGCACTTTTTATGTAGTATTTCTCTCAGAAACAAGGCTTGAAGCGACCGGTGATTTTGAATGTCAGTAACGCTCGCGAAATCAACTTTAAATAAAATTTGTATAAACTCGACGGTAAAAATTCGATAATTTTTATTGTGTTCTATCGACAAAAATCGAAATGTCTTAAATAAAATCAAAATACTAATAAAATGAAATAGATTAAATTAAAAACCGTTGCTCCGTGCGTTGACGATAAGAAAACTATGCCTCCCCTTTTCGGTCACGCCTAGAGTTCTAAAACTCGATTTTCTAAAATATATCGTCTAAATAATACTATCGTCTATTTTTTTTATTGTAAAATTGCATGTTTACAATCTACCCTATACACAGAGTAATAAGTAAATAGTCTGTAAGTAAATTAACTTGAGTTAGGTACCGTCCAGTGACGGTTCTCTAAGTATTATTGCAGTAGGTCTTCTGGCCATACCCTCTTCAATCTTCTTTGGGAAGTGGTTGGGTGAATAAATTATTTATCAGTTCGTTGTTGTGATCAGTGGTGCAATTTTTATATTTTATTGAGCGATTCTTTATTATGTCCTTAAGTAATGAGATGTCCAGATCATTGTGAAGTATTTGGTTAGATACATACCATGGAGCTTTACTTATCATACATAGTATTTTGGATTGTAATGTTTAAATTATCTTCGTATTTGAAGGTTAACTACAGCCCTATAGTTCTCTTCCATATGCCCAAACTGGTTCAAGTATAGCTTTGTACAGACGCAGTTTACTTTCAAGAGATAACTGAGACCTTTTATTAAATAGCCAGTTCATATTTTTTAGTTTAAGATCTAAATCTGTCCGTTTAGTTTTAATGTGCGTTGTCCATGTAAGTTTTTCATCCAGGTGCAATCCCAAGTATTTGACAACTGGTTTTATAGGAAATGGAGTATTATTAATATAAATTTGTGGACGTAAATTTTTTTGTTGTAAAAGTAATTTGTACCGATTTACTAGCGTTAAGACTGATCTTCCATCGCTTAAGCCAGTTTTGTAATTGATCTAAATGATTTTGTACTTTTTGTGATGCTATATTAGGGTCGATATCCACTGTCAAGGTTCCCGTGTCATCGACAAATATAGCTAAGAAGGTATCATTGCTGATTGGAACGTCTGCTCTAAATAATTTAAAACTGAAAAAACAAAAAACAAAGCTCAAATACACAAGTAAAAAATTTGATTTTCGAAATCACCAATGAATAAATTTAAGTTCAACACTTCTATCAGTTCCCGATGAGAATTTTTAAACCTATTTTTCTATTTTATTTAGTAGTTAGATTTATGAATATACATACCACTCACGAGTTTTTCGCGTTATCTAATAAGCACTTCATTAACAATAATTAAAAAGGTTTTATTTAAATTGAATTTTTAAGCACTTGATGATTTCAAAAATATTTTTTACTTGTATTTTTGAGCCTTGAAAATCGTCATTTTTCGTTTTGTTCACTTTTAAATTTTTTTAGAAAATGATCAAATTCAGAAAAAAATTGCAAGAGACCTTTTTTGTTCAGAAGGATCAAAAGATAGGAAAAATTGCCCTAGCCAAAAAAGTTCATTTTTACAATTAGTTTTAAAAAAAATTTAATAAAATTGGCGCCACTCTTCGCATGGTTGACTTTTTGAATTTTATTATAGGATGTCTCACGAATATGATTACGCAAAATTATATTATGTGAATATTTTTTCGAACCCACCCGAACTTCTCGCCTTATATCTAAGATACTGTTCAAATATTCAGTATAGCACGACTAAAGAAATATGGTGTCATAACATGTATCCAAAATAAGGTCAATACCTGAAAAATAAAAACGCACCAGTCCATTAAATAACTGGTTGATTGCAATCAAATAGATGTAAATCAAAAATAAACAAAACCTACCTTCTTTTACACTCTGTACATAGACGGGGTTGTCGCCGGATACTTTCATCCCGTACCCTTTCTCATCCCTATTCACTACGACGCGCACCACGTGCTGTTGGCTTTGAGCATGATCCATAAGGGAGGCCGGCCGCCCCACACCGCCCGAGACTGGCGTGCCGGGACTTGGAGACGGCCGCCTCATGGAACCATTCATACACAAAGATGGGCTGCTGCTGAAACAAAAGTAAAAGCAGATGGTTAAGTTCTAATTAACTTTATTTTAAGAAATAAAGTGTTGTAATAAGATAGGATACTGATAGAAACTCCCAGAAACTATATTGCCAGTAAAATTCGTCTGCTATAAATTATACTTCATTTAGCCAATTTTTAATATCAAGGGTATTAAATTCATCATAGTCTTTCATTTTTGAATGCTCTCTTATGAAATACATTACTTACGTTTACTTTATTTATTATAGTTGTGTGCGTTCTGAATTTGTTATGTATTTTGTTTTTATTTTACTCTTTTGTCTATTTGCTACATTCAGTACTTTAAAGTTTTCTTCTGTCTTGCCTCACCATCTTTTCCAAAATGTTCCTATGTTTCATGGGCTCAAAAGACTCATGATTCATTTTATCATTTTCCTAAGAGGGCTTAGCATTATGATTCTTAGTTTTAGCTTTTTTTTACTTTTATGCATGTATGCCTCTTCCTAATTAGTTCTTTGCAGAAAAAAAATTAATCGAATTATTTTACCTTTTCAACCTTTAAACGTTTATATATATATATATATATATATATATATATATATATATATATATATATATATATATATATATATATAGTCTATCTTGGTGTAGCGGGTAGGTACTCCTCCACAATCCCAGTGGAGGATAGACTTACTTCAGGGATGCGACCCTGCCCTACGCGAGCCTTGATTATCTCTCAACTCCTATGGAGAGAAATCATGCCCTAACCCCATTCCTACCCGATACCTACTACCCTACCAATTTCCCAAACCAACTCAATGGTAACTTGCAAAAGCCATTGTACGACATCACTTGGCCCTTACCAACCCGACCTGAGGAAGCGTGGTAAGGTATGCCTCACGACCCCTTATGGATAAATAAAAAAGAAAGCCGCGGCCCTCATTCTCCGTAGGCCCAACTGACCCCGAGATGGGTAGTTCTCGGGAAATAGTCAGGAGGGCAGAGGGTGCTAAGAATCTGCGGAGTTCAAACCACTACCCAACCAGAACAACAACACTATACGTAGCGACCTATAACTGCAGGTCGTTAGCGAACCAGGCAAGACTCATAGAGTTTGGGCAACATCCTCTATCACAAAAGAACAGAAAATGGACGAACAAGTGGAGTGGGGTTCCTAATTAATAAGAAATGGAAGGATAGGATAGTCGACATAGCAAGCACCTCAGAGAGAGTAGCTAGTCTAAGTTTAAGACTATCCAGAAGATACACCATCCAAATTGTGCAAGTATATGCACCAACCATATCCCACTCCGATGAGGAAATAGAGGAATTCTACAATGAAATAACTGAGGTGCTTAACAAAAACAAAAGCCAATTTAAGTATCTAGTCGGGGACTTTAATGCCAAAGTGGGTAAACAGTCAAATCAAGAACAATGTGTCGGCAATTTTGGCATTGGGGAAAGAAATGAAAGGGGAGAGAGACTGGTTCATTACGCCCATACCAGAACCTCTCAATCGCCAATACCTATTTCAAGAAGAACCTCAATAGAAAATGGACATGGGTAGCTCCCCATGCAACTACCAAGAACGAAATAGATTTCATCCTAACTAATAAGCTGAAAACCATAAAGGATGTAAATGTGCTCAACAAATTCCGAACAGGTAGTGATCACAGACTAATTAGATCTCGAGTCGTTCTAAACACTAAACTAGAAAGAATGAAATTACTCCAGAAACCAAGTGCAGGGGTAAATATCACTAACCTAAGCAACAACTCGGAACGCTATCAAAATTTAATTCAAGAAAAATTACAAGACTCAACGAATAGCACACACTTAATGGAAACAATCTTAAATTGCGCTAAAGAAGTTGGAGGATCACAAGCACACAACAGCAATAGAAAACTTTCAGATGAAACAACAGCTCTCCTGAAACAACGAAGAGAAATGAAAATCAACTCCAATATTAATAGAAATGAATATACCGAATTGTGCAAAGCAATACGGAAAAAGATCGCAGAAGATATAAAAACGTACAATGAACGACTTGTACAAAATACAATCGAGAACCGTAAAAGCTATAGGAAAACCAAGAGCAAGTTGGCAATCGGTAGAAAGCAAATAATAGCATTCGGAAACAACAACGAAAGGATCACAAATAGGGATGAAATAATAGAACATGTAACCAAATTTTACGAGGGTCTATATAAAGCTCCGGAAGTACAAGAAATAGGCGAAGAAGAAACTGCGGTTCAAGAAGATGTACCAGATGTTCTTGTGGATGAGGTAGAGGCAGCTCTTAAGAGCATGAAGAACGGCAAGGCAGCCGGTAATGACGGCGTTACAGCCGAACTTCTAAAGATTGCTGGTACAACAACTTGGAAAATCCTAGCAAAAATATACACAGACTGCCTAAAATCGAGACATATTCCAAAAAAGTGGAATTCAGCCAACATAATCCTCATCCACAAGAAAGGTAGCAAGGAAGACATCAGAAATTATAGACCGATCAGCTTGCTGCCTGTGATATACAAGGTATTCACCAAAATCATTAATAACAGAATACAGAACACACTTGACGCTGCACAACCCCGAGAGCAAGCAGGCTTTAGAAGTGGCTTCAGCACAATGGATCATATTCAAACATTAAGAGAAGTAATGAGCAGAACAAAAGAATATGAACTACCACTGGCGCTAGCATTCATAGACTTCGAGAAGGCATTTGACTCCGTATACCCAAGAGCAGTCATAGAAGCTCTTGTCGACCAAGGAGTAGATAAACCATATGTCGAAACGCTAGCAAATATATACAAAGAGGCCACAGCTAGAGTAAGCATATATAAAAATACCCCAGAATTTCCCACTCAGAAGGGAGTCCGACAAGGAGACACCATATCCCCTAAGCTCTTCACTGCAACCTTAGAAAATATCTTCCGGAAATTAGACTGGAACAACCAAAGTCTATGTATAGATGGCGAATGCCTAAACCATCTTAGATTCGCTGATGACATCATTCTAATTGCTAGAAGTCCTGAAGAATTACAACTACAAATTAATGGCCTTAATACAGCCAGCAATGAGGTAGGCCTAAAAATGAACCTAGCAAAGACTAAAATAATGTGCAATGATCTGATCGCCAACGTGGAAATAAAAATTAATGAAACCTCGCTAGAAGTAGTAAACGAATACATATACCTGGGACAGCTCATACATAAATCGGGATCACTACTTCCGGAAATCAACAGACGAATAAAACAAGCGTGGTCAGCATTCGGACGAAACTCCATAGTCTTCAAGTCCAAAATGCCACTATACCTCAAGAAGAGAGTATTTGATCAATGCATATTACCCGTATTGACGTATGGATGTGAAACTTGGATATTAAAGAGAGAAATAACGTCGAAACTCCAAGTAACTCAAAGAGCAAAGGAAAGATGTATGCTAGGGATAACAAAGAGGGATCGTAAAAGAATTGAATGGATACGGAGACAAACCCAGGTGACTGATGTAATCCAAAGAATAAAATCCCTGAAATGGCAATGGGCAGGACATATAACAAGACAAACAGACAACAGATGGACCACTAGAACAACTATGTGGTATCCCAGGAACGCTAAGAGACCAAAGAGGAGCCCGAATCTCAGATGGGATTATGATATAAGAAAATTAACAGGAACAAAGTGGTCTCGAATAGCACAAGATAGAAAAATATGGACGCAAATGAGCGCAAATTACAAGAACAACGAATAACTAAGACATCGTCGAATACTAATAAGAACATAGAATAACATTAAAATAAGGGAGGCTGCACCGTAATTGGAAACGGTCGATAAAGCTGCACATGATGATATAGTCTATCTAGAGTCTATCGAACTATGGATATAGCAATGCCATGACAGAGCTACTCTGACCTAGTACCTCGCAAACTGAAAATTTAGGATTCGTATAGGACTAGTCCTGTCTGAAGTCGGAATTCCAGAGGTAGAAGTTTCACATGAAGCTACTTTGTCTCTGCTGTTGTATAACATACACACTACAAGACATTGCAACTAGAAACCTTCAGACTGCACTAGACGCCTTAGTAGAATGGTGCGTACAGTGGAAAATTGCAGTAAATCTGAAAAAGACCCAAGCAGTAAGTTTAAGAAGAGACGCGACGTACCAGCCGAAAAACTAGAGATGTTCGACACTCCCATCGGATGGGAGTAGTAGCAGTACAGAAGGAAAGTACAAGCCAATATCAGAAGCCTAACAGAAAGAAGAATCAAATTAACGTTGAGAATAAAGACAAGGCTCATCAGCGGTATCATACTGCATATTCTGACATACGCATCTCTCGCATGGGGACAGACTTAAAAGACGAACAAAAAGAAGATCTCAGCGAAGACTTCACGGGAGAAGACGTTAAGTGGGAGTCTCGTTTCCTAAGACTCTCACGTGACAAGCTTTATTGTGATAGTAAACTCTCATAATAATGCTTTAAAAATTATTTTTGATTGAATACTTTCACAGCCAACCTAATAAAATTTCACCTAATTTTGTTACGAGAAAACTAAGAAAATATTCGTTTCTAGTTTTGACCAAGCCTGTATACCAGCATTAAATATTCGGCTATGTTAATGATTTTAGACAATAGTAGACTACATTAAAAATCTTTTGGACATAAGGCTGTTTTATCGGTACACCAAAACCTAGAGATAGTGTTTTCTCTGTTATGTCTCGAAATTTGGAAACGTTATTCAAAATTATGTTGCCTTTAAAATGATTGTTTTATTTTAAATTTTTTTGAAAGTTTTTTTGAAATATCGGATTATGCAATTTAACGTTCTATTATAACCAAATTTTTTACGCCCATCACTTGAAAGAGTTTTTTTTCTGTAATCGTTGATTTTTTTTTCACCTTTCTGTGTCCGGTAATAATCGAGAAAAGCGTGTTCAAACTTTGAAGAAAATTGCTAAAAAATACTGAAATCTAATAGTGAAACATGTTACTCATCATTGGCACTTAGTTCCACCGTTATCG